GGATTGGGTTGTTCATCGCTCAGGTCAGAATTACACACAAGAAATCAAGTGCTGTCACAAGCATCTTTGAGGAGATTGTAAATAAAAAAAGATGAAAGAGTGTCGCCAGAGCGGCTTTTTGGTTTCTTTTCTTGTGTATCCCAGCCACTAGCACCCCATATTAAAGATTTTTTAGCATAGGAGTAATGTAGTCATACAAATTCTCAATTTGTAATGTTGCAACACGTATTTGAATAATGATGGTTGGTTCCTTTATTTAAAAGCTCAGATTTGATTATCAGAGTTTGAAGTTTACTGTACCACTATTATTAAAATCGTACAGATGTTGCTCTGCCCTAATGTTTGCTTTGATTGTTCAGTATTTACGCTTTACCAATGCACACACTTTGTAATGTTTTATCAAGTTTTTGTTTTTTTGTTTATTTTATTATAAGACACTGTTTATTTTTTTGTTTTTGACTATTAAAACTATTTGCCTTAGTAATGTTGATTAACTGAAATAAAGTGGTAAAAAAACTAACATTCCTAAATGAACTGTTAAAAAAATATTCAATAAATATCAATATCGAATGATATGAAACATGATATTGTGACTTTTGTTTGCTGTATCATCCAGCCCTATTACATATGTGTATTAAATGCATACATTTTAATTTATTTATCTGCTTTATCTGATTACACATATTTTAAATAAAATGAATTAAAGTCAATTATACTGTTACAATGGTTTTTTTCACAAGCCAGAACTATTATAATTTGAATATTCATTATCTCTCATTCTAAATGGTTGTAAGCGAGTTGTAATGTGGTTGCGAGATGACTGCATACTACTCAAATCATATTCAAAAGTCCACCCAAAAGTTTCAATGACATTCCAAGCCTATAAATATATAAAATATGACTCTTAAGCATTTCTTTGTAAGACCTTACAAGTGCCAAGACCTCACAAACCACGAAACGTGCCAAGTATTTATGAAACAGCAGAGATTTCACCACAATCTCCAAAAAAAAAGTCTTATGCAAACAAAAACAGAGGCGAGAAGAAGAGTGAAGAAAAGAGGTCTGAAGAGCGAGAGAGCGGATCGTTTGAAGACAGGTTGTGACAGGGCTGTGAAACAGGGAGAAAGAAAAACAGAGGAAACCCAGAGGAGGAGTGTGTTTGTTCAGCCATTTAATAACCCCATTTAGAGCGAGGAGTGACCTCAGGGTGCTGAAGGACGAGGGGTCAGCGCTCAACTGACCATCCTAATGGTGCTCCTCTTTGTCTCTCGCTCGCCAAACAAAACCGCTGGAATGTAAGTGTGGACGTTTCATGCTGCAGAGGTGTCTGTCAATCAACACTACGATCTTAAAAATAAGCGTACACTGTAAACAGTTTCCGAATTCTGTGATTCACAAGTGTTTTTCATTTATTTACGGTTCTGAATTGCATTATGGGATGTTGATCACTGCTCTGTCGACTTTTGATGTTGAAAATTTATCTCTACAGTTTAACAAAGTGACTTTATTGACATTTTAGTAATTTCAAATAATATAATGTATAAGAAAAGAGAAATACGTCTGTAAAATAACAGCAAGTGTACTGGCAGTTTATTACAAGGTGTTTGTAGCATAATGTACAAAACCAACACAGACAATAGAGTATATCATTTTAAACTATTACAATGTTAATAAAAGTCACTGTTTTGAACTTGTTAAGGTTAAAAGTTGTTGAAGGAAAGATATATCTCCCATAATGCTATTTAAAAGAATAAATAAATGGGGAAAATTAAGAAAATAAAAAGATAAATCCTAAAATATGAAAAACTAATAACTTACAGATTCTTTTTTTACAGTGCAACTCAAGTTTTAAAGAGGCTCATTAAAATTCAGCAACACAATCTTCAGTTACTAATGGATTCTCTTGAAAGATTTTTGACTACAGAGGTCCTGAGTTGTTAAACAGCAGTGGTTCTCAAAGGTTTCCATGCAAAAATGTTAATTAATTTGTTGCACAACACTGGAAAATCGTATAAAAGATTCAGTAATAATGCAATGTTTCTATACAATTGTCATGACTGTCAGTGACCACCTGAGGGCGCTGTAGTTCAATGGACACTGAGTAAAACTACAGCGCCCAAAAAGACTACATTTCCATACATTCTTTCGTGCACACACCCGGTCTGTCATCTACACTGATTTCAACCACAGCTGTCTCCAATCTCCGTTGATTACCTGGACTATATATTACCATTCCACCTCTGTTTGTTACTGCGTCGTTTGTCTATCATGTCAGCTTTGGTATGTTGTTCTTGATCTCGTTCTTGTATCTTGCTTAAGTCTAGTTCGTGTTTAATCTGTTTTAGTTTCTTGTTTTGTTGTTTGTATGTTATTTTGTTACTTTGCACTTTGGATTTTGGATTTTGTTCACTGTTACCGCACTATTTAATATTAAATCTGCACTTGGATCCATACCCTTTTTGTTCCTGTTTTTGTTCTGTTTTTATCACGCTTAACGTGACAACAATAAGTCAAAAAGAAACAAACTGTCACCTGATAAACTGCTGCCCAATATCGAATAGCAGAATTTGCTATTGTAGGAGAAGCTCTGTCTTTTTCTTATATAATAAATGACTTGCACCTCAGAAGACAATGTTGACAAACAATAGTGGATTTTGGAGGTGAGAGACATTTTTGAGCACAGATACTCAAGGCAGTTCTGGAGGTAATAATGAACCACTGTGATGACAGACTTTGGCTGAGGGATTTTAGAATAATTAAAATAACTTTTTTCATTGACTAAAAATTGTCCATGTCCTATCCACCTGACTTCACACATAAGTGCAGCATGACTAGGCCCACACGGAATTTGCGCGCGCAGAACTCCCTAGATTTTCCGCAGATTTTAAGCCATCATTAATTCTGTTTATTTACTTGAGTAAATGTGTGTAAATCTGTATTTATTTAGTTTTTTTAATTAATTAAAGTAATATTATTGACTAATATAAAAATGTTAATCAGATTTATGTACAATGCAGTTTGTACAGTCATATTTTCTGTATAGGTAGAGATATTATATGAGAGACTTGCTTTTGTTTACCAAATAAAGTGAATGTAATTGGATTTGCATTTTAAACATTAAATAAGAGTTAAAAAGGTATTACTTTTTATTTCATATATTAAGGTTTTAGTTATCCTCAGACTTTTACCAAAATCCTCCGCAGAAATAGCAAAAAACTTCCAGTCTCAATCACTTCTATTAATTTTAAGCAAAACAAAACAATGTATGCTGCCTGACATCATATTGATTTAATATATTCAATTGCTGGTTGATGGGTAAAAAAGCAATAAATTAATTATAAAAATAGACTATCTATAACTAAGCAAAACAATGTGATAAATAAACAAGGTTCAGAAAAGATACATTTAAAAAAACGACAACAAAAAATATATGATAGTACATGACTTGGACCAAAAGATATACAGTTGAAGTCAGAATTATTAGCCCCCTGAATTATTAGCCGGCCTATTTATTTTTTCTCCAATTTCTGTTTAACAGAGAGATTTTTTTAACACATTTCTAAACAACTTAACTAGGTTAATTAGCCAGGTTAGGGTAATTAGACAAGTTATTGTATAATGATGGTTTGTACTGTAGACTATCAAAAAAATATGTAGCTTGAAGGAACTAATAATTTGACCTTACATAAAAAATAAAAAAAGAACTTAAAATTGCTTTTATTCTAGTCGAAATAAAACAAATAAGACTTTCTCTAGAAGAAAAAATATTATCAGACATACTGTAAAAATGTCTCTGTTCTGTTAAACATCATTTAGGAAATATTTAAAAATGAACAAAAATTCAAAGGGGCGCTAAAAATTCTGACTTCAACTGTATAACCGTTTCTATAGTATTGAAATCTTTAGGTAAGAATGTTTTTTTTGATTTCCAAAACACCAGCACATGATGTCTAAAAAAATAAACTTGCTGTGCATAGAATTTGCATTAAAGCTTTTTAGAATTAATTTTGTTTAGGATTTTTGGTATGACTAAGTTTTTTAAGCATCAGTCCACACAAATAGTGTAGAATTTTGTTCCGGTAAACAGTTCTTATACAGTAAATTACAAAATAACTTTTTACAATGAGATTTCATTTATTGACAATTGTAATCCACATATTTAAAAAAGTAATGAACAATAAAGTTGAAGTCACAATTATTCGCCCTCCTGTGATTTTTTTTTTTAAATATTTCCCAAATTGTGTTTAACAGAGCAAGGAAATTTTTACAGTATGTCTAATAATATTTTTCTTCTGGAGAAAGTCTTATTTGTTTTATTTTAGCTGCAATAAAAGCAGTTTTTTATTTTTTAAACACTATTTTAAGGACAAAATTATTAGCCCCTTTAAGCAATATTTGTTCCGTTGTCAACAGAACAAACCATTATTATACAATGACTTGCCTAATTACCCTAACCTGCCTAATTAACCTAATTAAGCCTTTAAATGTCACTTTAAGCTGAATACTCATATTTTAAAAAGTATCTGGTCAAAAATTATGCACTTTAATTGACAGTTTAATGACACTGTCATTAAGGCATGTGTAAAATAAATCAGTTATTAGAAATTCGATATTAAAACTATTATGTCTAAAAATGTGTTAATAATCTTCCCTTTGTTAAACAGAAATGTACAGGGGGGCTAATAATTCTGACTTCAATAGTATTTCTATATTAAAAATATTGATTTGTACGACACATTACAATAATGCAGATGCAAAACATAACATGGCACTTTTATTTCTTAATATTTAAGGATTTATAAATGTTATGATATGCTATGATAACTAACACCAGCAACTGAGATCTTATTGCAAAGTGATGATAGCTCATTATTCTCTTTATTTAATGTAATCCTTTCCCACAAGAACCGTTTGACAAATGATTTGGCCATTTTCCTTTTTGTTGTGTTTATTAATTGAGCTGCGTGTGTGCTTTTACAGACTGAAATCTCTTGACTTACCGAGTATAGACACCTTGCTGAGGAACTCCTCATACATCTTCCTCTTCCTCAGCGTGCTTCCCTAAAAAAACAAGATTGAAGCCGCAGTTAGAGACACAAGGAGGACATCAGGTAACCCAATCTTCTGGCCTCTAATCAGTCTCGACGGAGCAAGAATAAGAAACAAAGCTGAGGGACTTTCCTCAAACACGCTGCTGAAGAACAACTATAAACATGCAGATTAAAGGAACTTTTTGGCTTCCTTTTCTTTTGTTGGTTTGCAGCTCGGTCTCGCTCTAATACGCCAATGAAACACACACAGAGACACATTAAGTGGAGACGCTCCTGTAGGAAAGAAGAAACATGAGTGATCTCTTTATTGTCTCTGCTGTTTCTTCTAGAGGGGTCTGAGATTAAACGAGATATGAAGGCTGAAGTTGAGTCTTCTTCATGCTGTAAAACAAACGTTGCCAATTTTTGCAAAGCAATACAACAAAAATAATATACAGAATTGTTAAAAAAGTGATTAAGCATTGGATTATTCAACATTTTACTACGAAAAAGTGAAATAATTCTGATTTTTGTAAATAAAATTTATGAATTTATATTAATGTTAAAAACATCTAACTATTTTTCACATTTGAGGTTTTTTTATCAGTGCATTTTAAGGTACAAAATGAGAATAAGACTATATTAGAACAAGAGTTGCATTAACATTTTTGTTGTAAGTTAATACAAATATAAAAAATAAAATAATTTTTTTTTATAAAATATATAAATACCAACATGACATCCTGTGAAACTTGAAAGACATTTTTTACACTTTAATTCTGGATTATAGCTATAAAACCTTGTAAAGCTATTGCAAAAACATCAAATAATGGACATTTTAATTAAAACGTTTGCTATTTAACATAGAAAAATGGCAGGATTTTTTTAGCCTCCATTTAATTAAAAGTACAATGACTTTTATTTATTTAATTTATTTCCAGCTTAGTCCCTTTATTAACCAGGGGTTGCCACAGTGGAATGAACAATCAACTTATCCAGCATATGTTTTACGCAGTGGATGCCCTCCAGCTGCAACCCATCACTGGGAAACACCCATACACTTTTAATTTACCCAATTCATCAAACCACATGTCTTTGGACTGTGAGGAAAACCGGAGCACCCGGAGGAAGCCCACGCGATCAAGGGGAGAGCATGTAAACGTTCTACCCACTGTGCCATCGTGACGACCCAAAGTACAATGTCTTCCAACTTTAAAATTTATTTCAGTGCTACTTTAGGTTCACTGTAATTATTTGTAAAATATACTATACATCTATTTTTCAATAAAGTATGTTTTTTTACTAATATATTCTTAAAAATTGTCAACACCTCCATGTTTCCACCTCCATGTGTAATTTCAATGTAATTAAAAATATGTACACACTTACAGTATGTTATTTGAAAAGGTAATAAAACTACAAGTTAACAAAAAAACATGTATAAAGTATACAAGCTCAGATTTGCCATCCTTTATAATTTTTATTATTATTATCATCCTTTATTAGTTTTATAATATAATTTTTTTTTTTAAACTGCATATCTGGCAACCAAGGTAATTAGTATTAGTATAATTAGTATTAATATTACTAATGCTACTATTATTATTATTATTATTGTTGTTGTTATTATTATTATTATTATTATTGTTATTATTATTACTGATTTTGACATGGACATCACAATAACACTGGACAACCAAATGCATTTGTTTAAGTGTTTTAGCAGACTTGCTAATTCTCAACACTGGTCCATGGGGGGCTTAATCTAAAATGATAAAAAATAGATACATGTGCACTATTATAAACATTAAAACACATTATAATTTAATTAACTAAGATTTTAACGAAATGATGGGAGACTTTTAACAAAAAAACACTATTTTACATATGGAAAAACAAAACGTTTAAATGTAATGGTATTTATGCATGGCCATACACCCAAAGTGCTTCACAATCACGAGGTGGGTCTCTCCACACCACCACCAGTGTGCAGCATCCACTTGGATGATGCAACGGCAGCCACAGGACAACGCCAAAGTGCTCACCACACACCAGCTATCGGTGGCATGGAGAGACAGTGAAAAAGCCAATTCAGTGGATAGGGATGATTGAAGGCCATGATGGTTTAGAGGGAATTAGGCCACAAAAAACATAACCAAAAGATAGCGCTGACAGAGAGTATAGTGTTCCATTTACTTTACTGGGGCGTTAGGACCATAGACTGTAAAATATATGGACGTAGTATCCGTGACGTCACCCATAGGTTTCTAAAGAGCGCAAAAGAAGCCACAAGTAGGCGCGGCCAACCGTCGCCATTTTGTTCGCGCGTCATCACACCCACGGCGGGATACCAAACAAGGGCAAAGAGGCGGAGAGTGGGCGGAGCTACAGACGCATGCTGCATTTTGCTTGGACCTGGTTCAGACACACTTTACTTTGGGAGAACGCTTAATACTTTACCACCTGTGACTCGTTTGTATTCTGACCACATGTGCTTGGTTGTACACTATATCAATAAAGTGTTTAGTCTTTTAAAAACACTGCTGTAATACATTGAGCCACTAAACATTGTTCTTATGACGTTTCTCAACAGGAGGAAAACGCGAATTACATCCAAACACTTCTGATATAGTCTGTGTTAGTAAATGCAAGACTATTGATGAAATCCAGCATAACACTGTATGACAACGCTTCAGATGACTATTCTAGAGCCTACAGCTAATCAATTCGTCAGATTCTGGAGTGTATTACAGCTCTAAATATAAATATAAACGATAAATTATCTTAAATAAAACAAATACATGTATAGAGATGGTATATAAGTATATAACTTTACTCACATGGGAAACGGAGGCCACGTGAATGGTTTGTGAGCACAATTAAGTGCACTCAGCATGACATGCCATCAAATAATTGTAGGAAACAAGTCCAAAAGGCAGTCGACTGTGTAAAGCCACATAAAACAACACAGAAATGCGATAAATACGCCGAGTTCAGTGGCTAATCTGCAGGATTCAGCTGAGGTGACGTGACGGCGACCAACGAGACCCAGCTGTCACTCAAGTGGCCACGCCCTTAATTATGCAAACTTAATATAAAGGAAACGGATGAGTTATAAAAAAAATTCACCCCCCTCACAGTTGTCATGAAGGGTAATATTAGCTGTATTAACCAAAATCTTTTTTTGTACCAGGCTGTAAACACCTTTTTTTTCTGCTGTAAAGTTGGCCATTCTAACAGTGGGCTCAATTGAAATTTGCTCTGTTTTGGAGCCAGGAGCGGCCACGACTAGCGGAATTTCGGATGAATTGCAGTTTTAGTTACTTCCGTATTGGCTTCCTGAGAGAGCGGGAGGTTGCCGCTTGGTTAGGACCCACACAGACCACAGTTTGAGCACCCCCTGCTGGCCTCTCTAACACCACTTCCAACACCAACCTAGTTTTGCCATGTGGTCTCCCATCTAGGTACTGACCAGGCTCAGCCCTGCTTAGCTTCAGTGAGTAACCAGTCTTGGGCTGCAGGGTGATATGGCTGTGGCATTTTAAATTCTAATTCAAACGTTCGCTATTACAACAATTAATTTATCATTATGCTTTACCAAATGAGGATACTTTTTAGGATGGTCCAAAGCATGATTATACTTTGATCTAAAGTTCAAAAAGACTACAGTAAAAATACATATATTTAGTGTCTCTATATTAAACAATAGTCTTACTTTGTGCGAATGTCCTTTTTTTCTTGACGACAATAAATATTTTTGATTTAGATTAAATTAAATTTCATAGTTTGAACCAAATATAAATTATACTTAGAGAAAACCAAAAAAAAAGTAGCTGTAATAAATAAATGTTTCAAGTTGGTTTAAAATGTAATTTATTTCAGTGTGGATGCCAGGCGTAAACGTAACAAAACTTTAGCATTTTTTAAACAAAAAAGAGGGTTAACAGTAGTTAACAATCAACCTTTACAGCAAGAAGATCCTTGATTCGGGCCCTGGCAGGGCCAGTTGGCATTTCTGTGTGGAGTATGCATATTCTTCCTGTGTTTGCTTGGGTTTCCTCCGAGTGCTCCGTTTTCCCCACCGTCCAAACACATGCGCTATAGGTGATTTGAATAAGCTAAATTGGTTGTAGTGTATGTGTGTGTGTGTGTGTGAATGCAAGAGTGTATGGGTGTTTCTCAGTACTGGATTGCAGCTGGAAGGGCATCCACTGTGTAAAACATATGCTGGAATAGTTGGCGGTTCATTCCGCTGTGTCGACCCCTGATAAATAAGGTCTAAGCTATAGGAAAATAAATGAATGAAAGAATGAATAAACAAATACGCACTAGTGTAAACTACAAAAATAAATAAAGATAAAAGCAACAGTTCACCCAAAAAAAAGAAAGAAAAGAAAACAGACAACCGATGACAGCTAATGACTTCAATAGCGTTTTTTCATATTATGGCTACCGTGAACTGTCTGGTCTTCAGCATTCTTCAAAACATCTTCTTTTGTGCTCAACGGAAAGCCATACGAGATTGAAGTAAACGATGACAAGAGGTTTCATTTCGGGGTGAACCAAAGCCTTCACCTAAACCACCTCGGCGAACATGAAACGTATACGCAAATGTCCAGCCGCTGAGTGTCTGTGAAGATCCTCTGTGTTTTGAGGTCAGCGACCCCTCGACCCCCGGTGTTTGAGAAGAAGATACAAAAACATCTGAACATCTGAGACGTGACATGAGGATCTGCAGCGCTCCGCCGAGTGCTGGTCAAGCTTAATGGATTAGTTCAGCCACATTTCCCAAACAAACACCATGTATTTCCTACAGACAGGAGAGTCTGTGAGGATCTGTTTACTGCAGACAGTGAGGAAGACAAGAGTGTAAAATGTGAACTGAAGCACTTTTGGTTGGGAAACCCGAGGAGTGTTGCATGGCATATTTATGTGTGTAAACGTCTACTCAAATCGCCAACCAAAATACAGTGTGTTTTGCTTGACTTGACATTGTTTAGCATTTTGGTGATATTTGATGGAGATCTTGAC